TCAGTATAGAGCCAGCGAAGTCGGCAGCTGTCGATAAAAGTCTGTAACTTGTTGAAGATCCTTTTCGTGACACGCAGTACAAGTTTCTGACCTGTGTAGAAGAGCTGACTGACTTCACATTTGTGTTGAAAATCCGAATCTTGTTCTTTATGCTGGCCGAGCGCAGTGCAGAAGACTTCCAAACTGGTTTTAAGTCGATAAAGGCGTATCTTGCCTTTCCGATTCTGGCTAGCTTTGACATCTTCATCCATCCCGGTTGCCTATGGTTGAAACCTTGCTTCCTCGCCAGATAATTGAGAGAGGTATCCTGTGTCAAATATCTCCCGTTGTTTGTTTTTGCTGTTGGTTGGTTATCTTCATCACCTCTGTCTTCGCTATGTTAATCTGAAGTCTTATCTCTGCTGGCTGTTTCTTCTGCCAGTTTGTTAGTTTTCACCTGTAAATCTCCGAGTTTGTGTGACATTAGACATATATCATCTGCGAAATCCAGATCTTCTAGAGTCTTCTTGCTAGTCCAACGTATTCCTGCCTTCTCACTCCCTGCGCACAGTCTGACGCATAATCCAGAACACCACAATTAAGAATATCATCGGCGATAGTAGTAGACAGCCTTGTCTGTATGCACTTCGAATACCTCACTGAGTTTTCCGTTGTGGTTCACCTGACACGTGGCATTGTCATATAGCTGTTGGATGAGGTTGATAAAGACTTGAGCACTGCACGCCATAATGTTGAGGTAGTTCCCAAATTACTTCTCGGTCAACGCTGTCTGTCGAAGGCCTTTTCGAAGTCAATGAAGTAGAGGTTTGACTGCCATTCTATGCTTCGTTCGACGACGATGCGTAGAGTAGCAATTTGTTCAGCACATGATTTGCCTTTCCTGAATCCAGCTTGTTTCGGCGGGCGGAGATCTGCATCCAGTGCATTTTTTATTCGCCATGATGATGCGACTTAGTATTTTACTTGGCGTGGACAATAGCACGGTCAACTGATTACTTAAAAATCTTCCCACCCCCCCCCCCCACATTGAGATAGACATAGAAGTCAGGCTTAAGTGTCATAACCACAACAACAAAAGCCTTTATTATTCCTAATACAGGGCACATATGTCGCTTACACATCAATGGGAATTTAAACCATAAACAGCTAATCAATATCTGATTAACTGCATGACCTTGAAGATCCACCAAAAAATCAATCAAAAGTTGTCGTCCAATAAGGTTATTATGTTGGCGCATGCATCAATCATAACTTCACGGCTAACAAAGATATTTAGTCCGTCCTAACATATCATCACTATATGTAGGGAAACTTCATCTGCTAGAAAATCGGGAATTTCTTTATCCCTCAGAAGTGTTTAAGATTAAGTTGATATATGCAAGTGATTGCTTCAAAATTCATTTAAAACTTTTATAGAAAATGACGAAACATTTTTAATTTTGTGCACCAGCTAGCTTAGAGTAGCCGCTGCTGTCTTCAATCGTCATATTGTTTTTTTCTTGGACAAAGGAGCCAAATATGTCTTATGTACCTTCCTCAATTAAGCATCTGCTTTTGACTCTGTGCCCAGATACCGTTCGCTAAATAAGCTTCCCCTGACACAAACCGAATCCTGGGCTGTTAACTGATTACATTCATATTTCTCGAACAGAATGCAGTATATTGTAGGTAAAGGCGAATCTTCCTCTGCCTTGCTTACTGAACTGGAGTCCCTCAAGGTGCTGTTCTCTCTCCTTTCCTTTTTTCTTCCTTCTAACATGACTTGCCTCTTTCGGATAAAATCAATTTCGTTAAATACTCTAACGACTGTTTCGCTGTCAGTTACGTTCGGACCTGACTGTTCCGAAATTGATAGCTTTTAGTTCGACATGAGCCAATGGTCTAAGCCAAATGGTCTTACGTTAAATCACTCTAAACGTCGCCTTTAGGCACAAACGTGATGCACACGAACTGGTCCACTCACAAGATGCTTGTAGCATAGAGGACACGCAAATAGACACTAAGTGAAGCATAAAATAACTTGGAATATTTCTTTCCTCTGACCCTCCTTGATCATCCCACATCTTGTTGATTTCTAAGAAAGAGTTCCATCTGACCTACATTAAGAAATTAAGACACTGAGGAATAATCACTCAACCAATCTGGAAATCTTCGTCACTCAGAATCAACAACAAAATTCGGATTTTCAGTACAAACGTCAAGTCAGTTCTTCTATACGGATCAGAAACTTGGTGGGTCACAAAGAATATTCCCAACAGGTTGCAGACCTTTATCAACTGTCTATACTCAAGATCAGATGGCCGGAAAGAATCACCAACAAGAAACTATGGGAACAAACAAAACAAGAACCAATCGCTCAACAAATATGCAGGAGAAAGTGGAGATGGATGGGACACTAGCTGAGGAGACCGCTGGGTGACATCGCGCGTCAGTCAGGCCATAGCTCGAGTGGAACTCGAAAGGGAAGCGGCGAGTTGGTCGTCAGTGCAAGGGTGACATGGAGGAGATCGTGTGAAGAGGAGTTGGAACAGTATGAACTAACATGGATGCAGATGAAAAGTACAGCAGAAGACAGAAGCAAGTGGAGACGTGTAGTTGAAGCCCTATGTTCCACTAGGAACCCAAGGGAACAATAATAATAATAATCTACTTTTACAATTTGTGAACCCCTGCATATCACTTATTGTACTTTACTGTCCCCCATAGTCTTTTCTAGGCTATTCAGGAAGGACTATGTCATATCGACAAGGGTCAGTAGCATGCCATTAAGTCAGCTCGTTACTACTGTAGCCGACAGACACCTGAACTCGTATGAAAAGTGGTCTAAATCCATATTATCTGAGTCTCAACATCCTCTCTATTCTCAACTCTCACCACGTAGGACTAGAAGTCATTATAAAAGATTATGTGCTCGCACAACTGAGTACAAATACCCAGTCACGCCACATCTGGTCCACTTTCTAAGTGATAGATATAATGTTGAGCGCGAAATCGACGACTTATTATTATTTGACTAGCAAACTAATTAGCTCTTTTATTCTCTAATATATATCTGTAATCTATGATGACACTATCTTTAATTAGCTTATAATTTTAGCTACCGACATTATTATTCTTATCATTATCCTAGACTGTTTGTACATTTTTGACTATATCGTTACTGTAAAAATACCAAAAAGCTGCTATTATCAGTCCTAATTACGTATACCCTGGTGGCATTATTATTATTATTACTTCTTTTTGGTTTTGCTGTTGTTGAGTATATTAGATGCAACAGTATTGTAGTACCAAATGCTGAGAATTTTATACTGTACTTTTGAAATAAAGCAAATCAAATATTTGTATTGCGTTGTACTAGTTTGTTCTCTCTCTCTCTCTCTCTCTGTCCAAGTTACTTTTTTTCGATAGCTATCACAGCATACACTGGACTTTATATACGGACACTGACAAAAGTAGCTTTGTTTTTTCTTATCAAGTATTGTACCTTGTAAGCAAAACACGCGAGCACACACATACAGCAGCTATTGACATTTATAGAAATGCCAGACGAAGAAGCAAAAGACGAAAAACAAGTCTAGAAGCCTTGAAAATATCAATAGGCAAAATAATAGACAGTGTAGGTTGACAATAGTGTGAATATGCGCGCTATTGGGGTGGGGCAGCAGCATCTTACAGTAACATTTTACAGCGTCGTAAATCACTCACACGATTAGGGAAAATTATCTTGGCAAACATATGTATATGCTGTATCTAAGGCGTCAATAATAAAATTTAAAGCATTGTAAAATTGGTTTTTGGATACATTGAAAGAGTAAAACACAAAACACAAAAAGAGGATATTTGCTTTCTCCCATCTAATAGTACAACAACAACAAAAACTACTACTACTACTATGTAACGTATGACATTTTTCTTAATGCATTTACAACATTGTCAAAAGTTAATTTACTTTACTCTCCCAGAATTACATTCACTCGCATTGATATCTCCGCACTTTAAAGACAATCCATGCGTAAATAGAATACAGGATATGAAATTTTAAGGGTATAATGTCCTCCAAGTTTCATTTTTTTTACATACATTTATTTATTTATTAAATCCGTAGTTTAAAAAAAAACGTTTCTGTTGGCTGTAAAGAATCAGTCAATAGTGTTGATCTGCCCTCCAGACATTGTACCTTAAGTGCTTATAATTGAGGTTTTTGCTATTTTGCAATTCATGAAAAATCCCCATTCGAACATTAACAGAAAGAAGAGATTGTAGTTCAGTGAAGAGGCGAATTCACTTTGCTTCTTTAGTTGTACAATCACATTTCTACACAAACAAACAACATTCAAGTTGGTAGATATCGACACCGTTGTTACCATGATAGCAGAAGTGGCTGAACAATTTTCTTTTGTATGCATAGTACCGGTTTTTCTGTCTGAATGGCTTAAGCTTCAGCAATGCAAAGAAGACGAAATCATATAGTGTCTTTGACAGTCTGTTCTTCACTTTGTAGATTACTTTCAAGGTGTTTGTTGACAAGGTGGACGATTATTGCGCTTCACTACTACCTTCCTGCAACCATATGGGATAGTGTTCGTGAATCCTTTCAGAGAGGATGTGTCGGACGACCAATACACCTGGACTGTTATATACACATAGAAGTGGTCAGATGCGAGATGTTGTCCTTTGGGCTTCTGCAGATGAGTGGGTGACTACTATTACTTTTCATGCAAAATTGTATATAAATGCTATTGTATAGCTAAAGAGGAAATTGCATTCGCCTAAAAGAGCCTCTTCGCTGAACTACTTCTCTTGTTTTTATTAATATTTATTATTTTTTTTATTTTGATTACAGCTTGATGCCACACCGTATTTTCAGTTCCAGTATGGAATTTTCAGCATGAATATCGGTAGCCCAAATTTAGCAGGCCGGCCATAGATATCGGGTGTGCGTCGGCAGTTGATCGAACCCCGGACCATGTGCATGGTCGGCGAGAGTCCTAACCACTGTGCCACCGACGCACAGGTCTAGTTGCCAAGGCAAGCAACATTTTGGTAGTGTTAACTTTTGTGCAGCTCGAACGTTGAGTTTCAAGAGATATGAAACCTAGTTTCAGATATGTTTTTATCTACCACCGGGGTGTTAGTACCAATTCATTACTTTCCATTCAGTTCTCCAGCACGCTAACTACCATCCATCCACCTACAATACAATTATAAATGTAGTTTCTGTGGGTTTCGTGTAAAATCTACACTATTCAAGGTATCAAATCATAAGGGCTCTTAAACACATCTCACACAATTAAAAGGAGTTCACAGACTGAATCACTTCATTCTCTATCCTTAGATCATATCTTGCAGGATCGTCTAATTAAAGATGGAGTACGAAGTACATACGAATATAATTTAGAAGACAATTCATCTTATAAGATATATAACAGTTCGTTAAGACTACTATTTCTGTTTTCTTGATCGACATGCTCTCCAAGTGAAGTACACTAATGTAGGTTTTTTACGAAAGTAAAGCTTTGCCAGAAAGACCTTCCATTCATCCTTTTAATTTTCTGAGGATGCATGATCTACAATAAGACTCTCAGCAGAGATCTTGCTCCTGCATACAAGCAATTACACCTGGAGTTCTAGTCAGAAGTTTTGACCAGAGGAGTCGGTCCACCAAATCAGGTAAGAGAACAGTTACCCGCCGGTGACATTGACTGGCAGCTGGGCTGTATATCGCGAATTAGCAGAAGTTGGAATTCATGGGCTTGTCCCACTGGATCGGGTCCCAGTGGCTGAATGGTCCGTAAGCTTGTCTTGTAACCGGAGGGTATTGTACTGGCTTCGAATCCCAGCGGGTGCATGACGATGAAGAGTCCCAAACTTGGGAGAAACAGCTCCCCAGTACTCGCTGGTTTTCCAAAAGTTCACTATCTGATGTCAACTCGCAATAATATCTACACAATCCAGAAACTTGATCCCGAATGTTACTGAAACGGATTTCATTTTTTCGAGACTATGCTATATAAATCAATACTGCCAACTGAATCGTGACAAGCAGACTAAATAATAAGCTACCGCAGAATAACTGTTAATTTTATTTCCCATTATTACCAAGATATTTCCCATATACACGTTTAGGATAAAGCGCAATCTCACACCCAACCAACTTTCAGCCGATATTACATTCCACAATACACTAGAGAGGTGAGTCAAAGACAATTGTAGTACAAACCTTCAAAATTACTTTTTTTTATTGACAGAAACCTAACATATTATTGTGTGAAAGATGACTAACTTTTCCTGAAAAATCATCCAAAATTCAAGACCCCCCAACACATTTTAGAAAAGAAAGAAGAAAAAAAGGAAAGATACAATTACATATTAGGAAGTTGACCTAAAAATAAAAATGAGACTATTTCATTAGCATTGAATAAACAAGAATAAATATAGATATTAGTGCATCCTCTGAGAATGCAACAGCATCATCGCCATTCATTTGGAGATAAACATCTTTTACATCATTTTACAAATCGGTCAGTTTTAATAATAATTTACAGTATAGTATGTACAGTAGAAACAGCCTAACTGTTGAATTACCACTGACCACAATTAGCGACGACAAAAACAGAAAAAATAATAGTAATAAATAAATAAGTAAATATTACAAGTTACGTCGAGTTTTGTGGTGCATAGAGAAAGACTAGAAATAAGATGTGAAAGCATTGTGAAAAAATTTGCACACAAAAAGGACAACCCACTTACTTTATATAAAAGTGGGGAAATGCTTTATGAAAAAAGCATTGAAAGACATCGGTGTATGGTTGGGTATGTAAAACTTAGTTTTGGTTTGTGTTCTGATGATATGCATTAAATATATCCCATCATCATCATGAGGTGTACAGCATTTTATAACTCTGTTTCAAAGGATAACCAATCGCGTGATTTAGGCGGTTGTGAAATTGATCGGTAGGTCAGCTTAGGAGGATGTTTACCTCCGTTACTTTTTAACGGAATATCCTTCGACATGGCAGTATTAAGTACAGATAATGAAGGATTTTGTCTAGGACATCGTGCACGTGATTCTTTCGACATAATTTGACTCGTAGATGATGGTGGAGGTAAAGGTAAACGTGATGATATTAAACCAGAATAATAAGGTGGACTTAGCACAACTTTAGATGCAGAAGAACACTGTAGATAGCTTTGTTTCGGGACAGGATGAGTATTTAAGCGTTGGCACATTCTACCTGAAAGAAATGGTGATACATCGCGAGTAGATAAAGAATTATTAACTACTGAGTTAACACTTGATGTGGTAAAAGAGGATGCTAAATTCCTTCCAACTGTACCAGCACTGTCTTTGGTCATCCATGATGTATTAGACACCTCGGTAGGATTGTTAGGTTCCAGATTGTTATCATAATAATAATAGAAATAATGATGATGATACTGTTGTGGAGATGTACTTTTCCCGATAACGCTATCACAGTTCGAATTCTGCAAAGGTGAAGCAGTACTGGAAATTATTGGCGAACGTGTAGGCGTAATATTACCATTTTGCACACAAACAGAAGTTTGATCAGACTGTGGATTTCGACAAATAGATGTTGGCTTCACCAACCATCTCTGAGCGGGAGAACGTTGCAGCTGAGCACCGACAGAGGAAGAACGCGTTTGACCAGCTACCTTTCGTTTGTTGTTAATGTCTTCACACTTGGTACGACTAGATCCCAATGTAATTTCAGGAGAACCGAAGGGTTTAGCTCTTTGTTCATGATCAACAACTGAAGAAACTATTTGCTTTGAATTCTTATACTTTTCACTAGTGCTGCTAACTTCTAGACTATTATTAGCACCTACAACACTAGGTTCGAATTTCTCGATAAGGGATGACAACGGACTATGCGTGAAAGTTTCCATAATAGGATGAGATGTATTTATATGAGTTGTTCTGGAGGATAAAGACAGAGTGCTCCATTGATCAGATCCCAGCATTGACTGTTGAGTCTTCTGAGAAACAGGATGATTAGGTAACGGATCTGAAACGATTGGACGGACTGGTATCTTAGAGCAATCAACATTATTTTCTGGTGTATTAAAGGAATATTTATCAGATTTATTGACTCGGACAACACAAGCAGGTTTACAGCGTTGAACCATCGGTAGAGGAGGCATTCCATTAACGTTCCGATTAGACACTACCACATCAAGAACTTGAGTGGAACTTGGTGGTCGACTATCGCTTCCGAGAGACCCTGGAGAACTATCAGAACCAGCAGACCCATAACCCGATGAAGTCTGAGACAGGAACTTGTTGGCCTTGCTTTCTAGTAGGTGAATAAAATTTCCTGAGCTTTGTTCCATCATTGTGTTTTGACTATTAGGAGAAGTGGTGATAATCGATTTGGCAGAAAACTGTTCACTGATTGTCGATGAAGTAGTCGGAACAGTTTCATTTTCAAACTGACCAGAATTTATCGACGGTTTATCAACAATAAATTGTGAATGAATATCAGGATTTGTATTCACCATGGGTGCTGCAACCAAGGTAACATCTATTTCATTTGGCCTGTTTATCTCTTCCCTGGAGGCTTTCCTCGACTCACAAAATTCATTCAACGACATACTACTCAATCCTCTGGAAACATCTGGGCTAAGAGTAGTTATTGAGTCAGGAGATTCAGGTGTACCTGTTAGATTGTTGGTACCTGACATAATGCTTGTTGGAGTTTTCCGATCCCAAATGCTATTAATATTTGTCTCTTCAGTATGATGTAGATGTGGCAACGGAAGTGCTTTGAGCCACTCTAACACATGATGCGGTTCTCTGTTATATCGAACAAAAAATTCTGTACTCATTAACGAGCGATATTTCGGACGCTGAGTGTGATCCTTTGTCAAACTGTAATTAAAAGTAAAAAAATAATAATGAAGTATAACATTATGTTTAGATTTTTTTCAAAACATTCCTTAGTTGTCATCAACACAAATTAAACTAGTCAGTTTAAAACTTTCTCTAATTGTTCTTAATTAGCATATTTTTGTAATTAACTGAATTTATGAATTAAACTAAGCTTGCGAAACACTATTCAGGGGGAAGACAGTGTGGAAAATTACACAGAAAATCGCTAATTTATTGGAATTTTAATTTTACTCTTTGAAAGCATAAAGAATCAATGTTTCACAAGCAAACAAAATCCTGAAGACGAGAGATTATATTCAGTACAGTGTTCACAAAAACTTTTCATGCAGGATGTCGTCCATTCGTAATCTTGGACTGAATGACTGGATTCAACATAGCAATAGGGTTTTACTGGGTATAGAAAATCACGAAGACTGAGTACAGTTAGGACGATTTTTAGCCACATCACCAATTATTCCCGGCTATTGGTTCTTAGAATCTTGGGGATCATAACCAGACAACCTACAGCCCCCCACGTGACTGGCTCAAACTAACTGTTAAAGATTTCATAGACTGATTGCAAGGTGTGGTTTGACCACTGCTGACTCTTTTGTAGTCTAATCCTATGTCAGCTAACATTGCCGGTTGATGAAGGCGATGTGGAACCTTTATGCTTAAATATAAAGTAGACTTTTATCAACAGCTGCCTTCGGTTTATACTGATGATCAAATGGTCGGCAAGAAAGAAGTAGCAACAAGAAACTGTAGTAATGAACCAACCAAGAACCAATCGCACAACAAATGTACCGAAGAAAACGGAGATGGATTGGTCGCACTCTGAGGATATCGCTGAATGACATCTCGCGCCAAACCATCGCTTGAGTGGAATACGAGTGTAAAGCAACGAGGTGGGAATGTGTTTGGGGATTATATGCAGGAGATCGTGTTAGAAGATGAGAGCGCACGGGCAATCGTGAGGTCAGCTGAAGAGGACCTCAGAGAATAGGACAAAGTAGAGATGTGGTGTTGAAGCCCTAGGTCCCACTGGGAACCCAATGGAATAATAACAGTAAGCTGAAAAAATATCTAGTCGAAAGCCACGCTTATCGTAGCACTACGGTTATCTTTCAGAGATAAAGCTAGTAAAATGATAGGAGTTTTAAAAAATGTTGAACTACATTCAATGTTCATCATCATTGTTTCCCAGGAAATAATGAACAAATTCTTGCTAAGTGGTGACGTATATATAATTACAGAGATCAGGTTGAGAAATGTGCGCATTACGAGGTAAGTTCAAAACGAACGAAATGTGGGAACAGGATACACAATAAATTCATCAAACTTCGACAGAATATGTCAAATACATACTCTGCTTACACTGCCATACATGAAGTATGTAGTACAAGGAGTGATAAGCACATCACAATGAATGGACTATAATATAACGTACGGATAAAGAATGATACGTACAGTTTAAATAAAAAGCAGAATGATGGAAAAATTCACCTCACATTGTACACCCGATTATATAAGGGTATAGTACAGGCTTTCAAAATAATCAGTACACGACGAAAGTCATGGATACTTTGGTTCAAAGAAGCTATTACTATAAAAAGACTTAGACCGAACCTCTATATACAAAAAGACAGACTAATGTCACTAAATACCCCAGTAACCGTAATCGTTTTATCTATGTGCTTTTGTATGTTGTTCTGTTGCATAAGATTCCACTAAATTTTGGTTTTGAATTTCAACTACTGAGTTGGATTCACTACTAAATTCCCAAATCTACTAAATTATTTTGTCTACGTTTCACTCCCACCCTACTGAACTCTTCATCATAATATGCATAAATTCCATCTGTTGCTCTGTCTTGTATTTTGTATCTAGTCCATCATTGTTTCTAAGCGAAATCTGAACTCTTTCACCTTTGTCTAATTATGCTATAAATAGTTATTCTTTTAACACTGAATAATTCGTCTAATTACACCACTTTTCTAATTATGTTGCTTATACTTTCTATCTATAACTTGAAGCTACTGTAAAAAGTATGTTCAGAAATTCTGTTTAGGATGTACACAATGGAACAGAATCCACGAAATAAAACGGGCTCGTATTATCCTTCAAATATGTTCGTTTTCTTTTCTTTATTCAAACTAATAAAGGAAACCGGGTGTTTGAAGTAGTGATGCTGTTGAATACTAACACATTTTAATAAGTAGTAGTAGTAGCCTAGTAGTCAAATCCAGTTCTTTGCATTCCAATTTAACTCTAGCAGAATAATATGCACTAAACCCATGCAAAACTTAGCGAAGAAAAAGCACAGAAACTAAGGGAAGAGAAATATAGTAATACTACTAAACGACAGTGAAATAACTAAACTTTTAGATTGTACTTTTGAAGTTAACCACTCCACACTCAAAGAAAAATTGCATGAACAAAACAAGAAGGGTTAAAATGAGTTTTAAAAAATCGTAACCATCCTAATAATACGTAAACTCCAAAAAATTTTTTTTTCTACATCAAAAATCTGATTAAGACACGTCGATGGCAAATTTGTAATCATGATATGATAAACATGATATGAGTTACAATTCCGTAGATGCAAGTAACACTACAACTCCAATATCAAATTTAATTTAGAAATAAAATTAGATAAGATTGAATTACCTTTCTAATATAGCTTAGTTGTCAAAGACAAACAGCTAAACGTCGAGTTTTTCAGGAAAATATTACACTTCAATAGACATTTAGATTTTCAATCTTCACACCTAATAAGTGCGAAGATTCATTTTGTCTTCAGTTTTTAACACGGAGGATACACATTGCTAGCCTTGTTAGCTAGCATCATGCCCAACCTTTCCTCTTCACCAGCATTATTTCTGGCTTAGCCAGGTAAAGGAGTGCGCCGGCCGGGGATCGAACCCCGGACCGTGTGCATGGTCGGCGAGTGTCCTAACCGCCATGCCACCGACGCGCAAGACATATTTATTACTGACATGAAAAAACTAAAGGAACTACCGAATGGAACTGAAATCCCTCAGTTGAATAGCTTCCTAGAAAGCTTCGTCTGTGGAATATAAAGTACCACCAACTGCCTCTGAAAGAATACACTAAAATAAAGGGTTACGACAGTCATTATTCTACACAAGTCACTTTCAGTGAGATCAAAGGAGGAGGTTCTTAATAAGTGCAATACTAGAGTCTTCTAGAACATCAAATAATTCACAGAGCACCGAGTTCCACAGTACTTACCACCTAACATCAAACAGATAGAGTATATAGATACGAAAATCTCTTTGTAATCGAAGGACATCACAATCAAACATACAAGAAGCATAAAAGAACACAAAACGCTGTCAATGTTTGCAGCTATAGCTCTAGATGCCATGTTAGCCGATTGCAAAACCAACTCTGTTAGAGTTGAAACTGTACAATAGAGGGTTCAAAAAGTATAAGGAACACTTCATAGCAGAATCTTTTTACATAAAATGAAACTAAAATTGCCTCATACCAAAAGATGCAGTAGAAAACATCTTAAGGGGGTTTCAATTTTCCTCCGCAAACTGAGTTTATCAATACACGTGAGATATGAACTACCCTCACACATACACTCGAGAATACAAATGTTACATTTGATATACACATATGCACGTATTCGTTATTTCCTTAGTTATTTGATAAGACACTCAAGAAACTTCCCCAGATCACGATAAATAAAATTAGACGTTAAAAATGTCCGATTCACTTTTGCTTTGATAAAGCTATTAGCGTTACATAAACAGATATCAACAAAATAATGTTTTTATTTATAGGGAAATGTACACCTCAAAGCAGAGGATATATATCATTTCTCTACAAACCACTTCAGTTAAAACTTAGGATACCTAAATGCGATGTTACCTTTCCACATAGTATATGACCTTTTCCAGACGTTTCAGCTATAATTCATTCGCATTGACTTTCCAATTACACTTTACATAAGGTTGCTAGTGAGTCTAATATCTATGTTACTAATTTAAGAATTAGGTTACTTTACCTTATTGAGAAATGTATTTTTGTTAACAGTAATAATAATGATGATAGTAATACTGCGTGTTAGGTGAACATATGGAATCTTCAACATCCTACCACGCAGATTTTTAGTCCTTTATATCATTCAGGTGGAAAAAGCATTCAGTGTACGAAGCAATGGAAGCTTTTTGTGACCAAACTAGGCAGCTCCAGAATCAAAACCGTGTAATATAATGTCTTACATAATATCCAACAACATTCCAAGAGTATTTCCAAACTTTCTTCGGTGATACTAACACGAATCAGATGACTACATCATCTTTGTATCCTGGCTTGATTAGATGTCCTCTGAGTACCAAACCAATTTGTAAGACGGTAAACAATCCTCTGCATCAAAATGACAGAGTTAAACAGTGACAGACAATTCCTAACATTATAGCCTGATTAGGTGAATTGTCTTTCTCATCTACCACTGCGCCTAAACTAAATATTATTTACCATTATGCTCCACCTAGAACGATTAACTGAAAGAAGACACATATGACCAGAGTTACTATCTTTTTACATCTCTCAATTTTGGAGATTGTCTTAAAGCTGCACAGTAAGACGACTGACTAGTTTCAACATACAACTTTGCACCGATGTGCAACAGTTCGAGTCGCCACACTTCACAGCAGGACGAAGGGAATGCAGTGTAACCGATGCCTTTAGATGGGTGCCTGGATGTTTTCATAGTGACAGAGATTAGGCACATTGACAAGTCTTTTATATTCGTTCTGGGATTCCATCAACAACTAGTCCATTGGGGTTAATACAACATCCTTAATAATTTAGGCAACCATTGGATTCACCCTCTTTACTCCATATCCTCGAAGTAGGATACAGCTTGACAGGAGTGATTTTCGCTCCGTATTCTGAAAATTACATTTTCCCAATGTCTTCCCCCAAGCTCTTTTCTTGAAAGCCCATCATTGTAGATGACTGTCAGTAAGCTTTTAAATGACTGTATACGTTCAAGTAGGGTGCTTTGATTACTAACTTTTGCACACAATCAGACTTCGCAATTCCTCCTGATAAAGAGAACCTCCCTGTTTAATTTTATTATAAATATATTAGTGGAGATCATCCAGACAGACTTCGACATGCCACCACAGAAAAGCTGCGTTAATCTATCATAAGCAGGTGACAAAATCTCAACTCGGATAGAAAATACACCTGAGGCTTTGTCAATTTACACCGGCATAGACGTAACATCATCCTATTGAACAAAGAACCTATGTATTGCGCAACAGTTCCCACTGTTTTCCTTCATAGCTGAGACATGGCTATTAAAAGTGGATGGAAAAGCTAATTGTCTTTGGCCACAGATGTTTGCGTTCTACCTACCATTTTATATGGTCTAACATGATAAGTAATACTGAGGTTAGAAGTAAAGCACGTCAACCGATGAGGTGGTCAGGTTAAAGAATTGCGATCCAGGAGTACAAACGCACCGATGACCATGAACGCATACTGTTAGTTGGATAACGGGACCTGCTAATGCTATAGAACCACTAAGGACGCTATGCACTAAGTGAGGTGCAAATTTCATCACAATCTCGTTCTTAAGTACTGTTTAGATAGTGGGTTGATAGCTCGTTACGGCTAGGGTTAGGGTATTTTATTTCTACTATGTATTTTTCTATCAAATAAACTGCATTTTCACTTGAAAAAACACAATTCTGAGTGGCCGCCTCAAGGTAAGTCGTGCGTTCGCATCCCTTGAATCGCCATTCTTTAACTTTGCGATCAGGTTGTACAGATACATAGATTGAGATGGCTAGGATACGTGATATGCATGCCCAACCACCGCCTTCCTCGGCGGGCAATGTTAGCTAACATGAGATTGGGCTGGAAAGGAATTAGGGATGTTGAAACCGAAATCCGGCATCAAAGCATCAAAATTTTGAGCCATATAGGGAGGTGTAGACCGTCTAGTTGGAATCCTCAGAGTGCTAAGAACCAATGGCTTGAAACTATTGGTGATATAGCTGAAAACAGTTCTTAGTGTCGCAATTCATTCACGCCCTTTAACCTCCGAGATCCACTAAACCTTCATGTTTTCCCATGCTACTGTTCTTTCTCGCTATTATAGTTGCTTTGACTCTGTTCTGTCTACCTTTGTGTGCTACAAGGAATATGGCAACTTAAACTGGTGCACTCCCCTGCGTAGTTCTATGTTGAAACTCAGTCAGTCAATCGGTTGAATTAGGTTGGAAAAGAGAAAGCTTTCGCAAATATGGTTTCGGTTACAAGAACGGCATCCACTTCCCATTCAAACTGAGACTGCATAATGGGTAAATACAGAACACTTAAAACATCTAGAAATACATGGTTTGTAAACTATACTCAGTTATATCAGACGGTTAATGCTATCCACTAAGATTATGACAGTAAGCGGAAATCCGTCGATTACTAATTCGAACATAATCTAGCAAAAATATATAATACGACATCTGAACCCGCAAAATAATGATCACCACCCTGTTACTGTCTTAAATCAACTTTTACTCTTTAAAATCTAATGTCTAGACTAAATAAAAATATAAAAAATATAATATATATAAAATCCAGACAACTCACCACAACTCCACAAACTGCCGGAACGCTTGTGTGAAGGGTATATGATGCGGTAACGACGGTGGTGGATCAGAGATGATTTTCGTCATAATAGCAAACTCAATCTGAGTTCCAGTATACGGGAAAGATCCGGTCGCCAGCTCTAACAGCGATATGCCAAGTGACCATATGTCCGCACGAACATCATACGTTGCATTGTTTAGACGCTCCGGGGCCATGTATCCAGTGCACCCTGGTTGTCTTGAACGAGCGATTGAATCTTTGAGTATTCCACTTATTCCAAAATCACATAGTTTGATCACACCTTGATAACTCAAAAGCATATTAGATGGCTTAACGTCTAAAACTTAGTGGAAATTTACTATTACCTCTGTGCATTACATTGTGCTTCCTCTTCAAATAGTCTAGAGCAGTAGTGATCTTTATAAAGGATTAAAGTATAGTCAGCCAAACTTACGGCTACAGTCACTTTTCCCAATACTTTCTCGGGAAATGGACGATGCAAATCGTGGTACAGCTTGTCCAAGCAAGTTGACATGACCTCCATACATATCCAAACATCACCCTAGGGCATGACAAAAGAAAAAATCAACTTACTCCTGAAAAAAATATCCCAAAGCATTCGACGATGTGAGCACAATCAAAACTTTTGGTAACAATGTTTAGGTCCATCATAATGCGTTTGTTTTCCTCTTCATACGTAGATGACACACGCATCTGCTTAACAGCCATAACAATATCATGTTTTGAACGGTGCCGCATTTTATATACAGAACTACAAGTCCCAGAACCCAAGCACCCTTCATTGATGAAGTCGTCTGTTTTTGCATGCAAAACCTATCAAATGAGTATGAAAAAAGCTTAGTACTTTGTTTCCAAAAACGAGGACTCCGCTTCTTTTGGCAATTTCTCTCTGCAAGGACTCAAAGTCATATCTATCTTAATTAAAGAACAAATGTAGGCACATACTTGTCATGCTGTCGGTCGAGGGTGGCAGCCAACTCATTCTGTCTGCTTTTCGAACGAGTTGCAGGAGATTCAGACCTATGTCTTTCACTCAGCACTAAACGAAAAATCATCAAATACAACTATAAGACATTACATGCTGTAGGGCGTTGAAAGCGTGCAACATTTCTCCTTGGTGAGCCAGCATCTTTTGTGCTGCAAATATGAAAACCCGAATTATTCTCTGTGGGCACATAAAATTGCGATGCTGAACAATTGACCGAAGAGAGTTCATTTGACATAGGTAGACTACTGCGCCATAAAATTTACACCTATTGGTAAGTTTAAACAACGACGGCAACAGAACAGTATTCTGAACTTTATCCGATATCCGATATCGTTTTGACGAGCTATAAACCAGTTTAATTTCTTTGTGCTCACTTCTCGATTGTGAGGTAAAGGTTCCTGGTCTTCGGCTTCTGCGTAGTTCTTCCCGCCACTCGAATATCGTAGCTTTGGTTGACTCTAAGAGGAGTACTGCTGGGATTAATTATATATTGTTTGTAGTATACAGTGTGTTAAAAATTTGGTACTACTGTGAATGAATTTGATCCTTTCACCAGTTAGTCCTCCAATATCGTCGTCAAAAGAAAAGAGATAATAATAACAGATATAATTAGTGTAGGTTATTCAGACTGAAAGATAAAAACGCAATAAAGAAAACGTAAAAACAGACAGCCAATTAAATTTGAAGTTTATATATATGCACATACATGTATAAGCGTAAGTGTAGTAGTCGGAGTAGTCAGGAGAGTAAGGTGAGGGAGGATGTAAACAAGTAGAACGACTGATTTAGTTGAATGGTTTATGGGATTTTAAGGAGATAGGTCACTTTTAGAAACATTGTTGCTGGTCAGGAATGTATTTTTAGCCATTTTCAGTCAGTATATACCAAAAAATATGAGACAACTGTGTTAGATGCTGGAACTTATTTATCATATAGTTGGGGCCAGGAAGCTGCACGCCGTCTCAAGAAACGAGGCCAGTATCACCAGCACCTCAGCTAAGATGTTGCAAAGAGTTGTCAAGAAGGCTATCATGGCATATTTGGAAGGCGAGAACCCATTGTTCAGAGTACAGTGTGTTTTCAGGGGAAACTTCTCATGCTTGACAAGTTTTGAGGCAAGAGAAGGCTGAGTCAAGTAAAGAGACAATAGGTGACCCTCTGATGTCGTTTTCGAAGACTTCAGCAGAGCCTTCGACAAACTACCCCACTCGGGAGTGCTCACGAAATCGAAAAGCCTTGGAATCAAGGGCAACTTGCTAGAATGAATCATGGAATTCCTCACTGAAAGGAGTCAGAGTCAGGATCAACTGCAATTTCCCCCCCACTGGACAGCTGTACTTAGTGGGGCACCACAGGCCAACGTACGCCCCTTCTCTTACTTGTCTTGTATAGCAACAAACTGGTTGGGCTCACCGAATCTCCCATTCTTCTCTTCTTGGATAACCTAAAAATTGGGAGAGAGTTAAAGCGTGACAGTGACGTGCTTATGTCTCTGGGAAATTGCAGTAAACTGTTAGATTGGTCTAAAGAATTGACACTCCCAGTGAACATGCCGAAGTGAGCAAACATGTACATTGAACGCACGAGCGTCAGCTCACACGAACTAGGCAGAATAACACTCCCATTACCCTTAGGTCCATTTAATGTATAAGCTTAAATACTACACCTGTTGTTTTTTGCCTATATTTATAATTCTAGATAAAACATTAACGGTTAAGATACGTATCCTCAAACAGACAAGAAATCTCGTTTGTAAAACTACTACCCAACACAATAAGTGGAATAAAATGGACATAAACCGACAACATGAAAAAGGTATAACTCACCACAACATCACATGGACAGATGAACGCTCGTTGGGCACCATATATCCCTCACCAACTGCAACCCACCTTTCCTTAGATAATGTGATGAACTTATATCCATAATGTTGCTGAGCAGTTAATATTCTCAACTCCTGTCGGAACAGCTGAATTTCATAAACCTTCCTCACGCTATGAAAATACCCACAAGCAGTAGAAATTCATTAATTAATGCGTCCGAAGCTTATGTACTTACTCCCAACAATGACATTGCAGATCAAATGAGACAAACACATCACTGATTCCAAAATAACACATCCATGAACTATAATTCGAGGACTCTGCACACAACAAAGTTATGTATGAATATTTACTTCAAGCTTTATTTTTTCCCAGGCACTTATAATCCATCCAAAGACCTGGTTTTTTTGTTAATGCGAAGACAATACTCCTGTATTTCCTGTTGTGTTGCACTCACTGACAATCTAGCAGATTTTTCCAACTGTGCACAGAAATGATTGTAAATAAGTGAAAAGGCTGTTTTATACTACTGGGATTAACATTTATCAAGTGTATGTATAATCTCCAGCGAATATGTAAAGCATATATTGCTTCTGCCTGTAAATTGTGACTGAATTATGTGGTTCTATTTCTGTAACAATTTGATAATGCCTGCAAACTGGCGTCCCTCATGTACTGTACTATGAGAATAAATTTATTTATTTATTTATTTATATGAATCTAGGTGTCGTAATAAGTCATGACCTACAAATTCTAGCAAACTGTTGCTTGAAGGCAGCTACAAGTTTCAGATCCTAATGGGCAGTACGTAGAGCATTTGCCAAAGTCACCAGCGATTTGTTCACTACCTTATGCATATCTCTAGTGGGGTCAGACTGGAACACTGCATCCAGACAGATAACCCTTGTCTGAAGATTGACTCACTCATATTCCATAAGGAGTTCACATGAAGGCAACACGTATTGTTCTTGGAATGTCCAATTTATCATACAAAGAACGACCTAGCGGCTTGAGTTTCTTCACTATGTCGAATCGGAGGCAGAAAGCAGATCTCATCACAATGTTTAAAATTTTACATAATCCCTACGTACCCGTTCTGTATTCCCTTTTCTTCCCCACCAGGTTGGAACACCCCAGGAGTTGAGAGGGCAAGGAGGAACTATATTGCTGTGGAGTACTGGTTCTCCCACATGGTCATTAATTCCTAGAACAGACTTCCAGAAAAAGTGACGTCAGCGTTCTCAAATGAATCGTTCAGGGAAGGTTCGGTCTGTCACAGAGACTTACCACAAAGGGATTTACATAGGCTTCAGGCCTTCTATCCTCAACCAGTGTATGCGGAGTCTGAATCTGGTATCCAATATCTTTCCCACAACCATGAGTAAACAGTATGATTTGTTGACGCTCACTTTTGTTGTTTTGGAATAACCACGGATCTTAGGTAGATTCCGGGACAAAGAATCTTCCTCTCTGCACTGACTTCCTCAGTTCTATTTGATGCATTTATAGAAAGTACGCTATTTCGTCTCGAAGAGAATGTGTAACACCTACCATATCAGTGTCGCTTACAGGACTTGCAAATTACGTTCCCTCGGGCAATCCTCCAGTTTGATTCATAAACAATCTGAAGGAAAAATATACCCAGAGAGTGGATAGGGAGTTGAAATAATTACTAAATAAGACAAATGGGAGTTCAGCCAAGCCATTTGGGTGGAAGAAAGGTAAGACAGTACAGCGTATGTACATAACGAAAAAAAGAAAATGACAGGGCTGATGTGATAAGCGATAAAAATAGGACATCATGACGAAATACATAAGAATTCGAAGTGTTGGCAGTAGCAGCACAGCTCCTAATGATCTATTAGACCCCTCCTCTGTTGCTGCTACCCAATGAACACTTGACTTAGGTTTGGTTCTGGGAATATCATAGTGACCCTCCTGCATTATAGCTCTATTTAGGTGATTTTAGTTGTGCAATATTTCTCATTCCGTGGTCATGTCGCCCCGAGTCCTGTGTCATATGAGACTATAGCGATACGGCCTTTGGAGCTGGCCATCGTGTATTCGGCATTTCGGCCTAATTGCGGCTTTAGTTGTATCCTCTATGCGTTTCCAAAGAGCCTCATGTTTCCCTTTAGGACTAAGGGTACAGTGACGTTACACGATTCAAAGTGCAGCCTTATATAGGCATTGCACGACTCCATGAAACGTCCAGTTGCAGAGCACACAGCCGTTTGTGATAGGAGCAGATAGGTCGCATAAGCACTTGGAGGTAACTTAGTCTGCTACTGGATGAACGTTGCCCAAATTTTTTTACTGATGAAACTGAGCACATTTAAACTACCAAGATAAGCAAGGTTATTCTGGTATCACTGAAAATAGATCGAATCTCTTCCCACCAAAAACCTTTCCTGACCTAACGTCAACTGCCTTGAGAGGCATTGCAGAGCGCCAAATGGTCAGAAGATCTGAGAGAATCATCCCGATGCTATTTACCATGAAAAAGGTAGATTTAAGTGTAAGGTGTCCACATTTTTCAAATAGAAGTCGATATCAAACCCTCTGGACAACACGCGCCACTCTCCCCCATTTACCGATGTTTGGCTCTGATATATTTGTGGTGACAGCTGTATTGTCACAATGCATCTTGGCGCCTACCTGAGCGATCCAGCACAATATTTCCGGACGTACTAGACGTCATGAAAAATGACTACCAATAGACCATTTTTATGTCGAATGATACTTCTTGTTAAGTCTAATATTGCACCTTTAAAAGATAAAGTTGTATTCTATACATCCTTTCACAATTTGTGTTAATTAGACTGTTTGTGGCTCACTGGATTAGTGTACATTTTCAATTTAAACGCACACTTTTGTTAACTACCAGCCGCTTTGTGTTCAGCCAATGTGCTCTTGGTATTTGGATACCAGATAACCTCAATAATAAATCTTACACTTTCTTCAGCAGTTGATTTCAGTATAAATCCAATTGGAGCACTCTGGCATATTTTAGATTCTGATCGAAGATTGCGAGTCCGTATACTGAGGGTGCTGTTCATACCATGGTTATAACACTTGTGTTTGCGTTGTAGCGGAGTGTTAATGTTTTTCTGGTTGTCATGTAACTTGACTACAGTGCATCTCCAGGTAGGAACACGCAGCCAACCAATCACTTCAGGATATTCTAAACAGTGAGATAGACACAGAAATCAGATTTAACCGCCACAACCATCAAACCAACCTCTTTAATCAGAATAGAGGGTACAAGTATCCTTTGTACAACCACGAACATTTAAACCAAAGATGAACAATTTATGATTGATTACATGAGTTCGACGATCCTCCAAAATAAATGAATTAAAAATTGCTTAATCAGGTTATCATGTTGGTGCACTCATCAATCACAACCTCAACATTAATAGAGACAGTTAGTT